CCCCCCCCCCACTCCTTCAAAAAGAATCGGGCTTTTTTGTGGGGGGGGATTTTTCTACCTCTCCTTGCGTCAGCCTCCCAACGTCACTTCACCGGTGACAGCTCCCTCGGTTTGGGGCTGCAGCAGGACCCTGGGCGCTTTATTATCAGCAAGCGCGTGGACCGGGAGGCGGCGGCGGGTGACAGCGCCTGTGCGTCTTCCTGTTGTGTGGGGCTCTGTGAGTGTGTGTGTGTGTGTGTGTTGGGGGGTAGGGTGGGGTGGGGTGGGGGAACGCCGGCGAGAAGCGACGACGCCCCCCCCCCTCCGCTTTTCTCAGCCTTGAGCCGAGAGGGAACCGGGCAGGAGCCGCGGAGCTGGGTGGCGGCGGCGGCGGCACTGCAGCTTTTGCCGAGGCTCGGCCGCCTGGGTAGGGGCAGCGGCCACCTGGCCGAGGAGGAGTGGTTGCGTTAAGCTCTAATTGTCGCTATCCCGGGTCGGGCGGCGGCTGGCCGGGCGCTTTTTCCGCTCGGGCAGCGTGGCCGCTGGCGCCCCCTGCTCGTGGGGCGGGAAGCGGGTCGGAGTCGGCGAGGGGAAGCAAACGAGGCACCGGCTCCCCTCCTCACAGGGCATCTCTCTCTCTTTTCTCCTCTCTCCCCTCCCAGGCTTGGTCCTCGGACGCTCTCTTGAGGGGGAGCCCGCTGCGCCCTGGGAGGTTTCGCCGCCTGACCGAAGCCCAGAACTTGCCGCCTTGCGAGGGGAAGGCCGAGGCAGCGGCTGCCCCCCTCCCGGACAGGAGAGGAAAAGGATGCTGGAGTGACTGACGGCTCGGTGTCCCGGCAGCCGAGCTGGATTGATCGCGCTTGGCGGGCGGGAAGAAAAGCCACCGAGGAGCGGCGGCGACATGGGGGCCTCGCCAAGGGCATGGTGGTGTTGGCGGTGGCGGCAGCGGCGGCTTCAGGGTTCGCCCCAGGCGACGGCTACCGGCTTCTGGAGCTTGTGTTGGCTGATGCTGGGCGCTTGGCGGGGGCTGCTCGCCTCCGCTTGCCCCACCTCGTGCGCCTGCAGTCCCGAGCGGATCTGGTGCAGCGAAGCCGCCGCCAGCCTCGTGTCCTTCCCTGTGCTCGGCAAGAGGAGCGAGCGGGAGAAAGTCACCGACATGTGAGTGCCTGAGCGGCGTTGGGGCTGAGGGAAAAGTAACGAGGGTGCGAGCGAGAATCGGCCGGAGGGGTTGAATGTTGGGCTTTGCTTTTAGTAGCGACGCGGTCGGTATAGCGAAATTTTATCCGCTCTTATTGATTTAAACAAGGCACATACATACATACATTTTGCAATTTGATTTGTTTGGCTATACATCTTTCTGCACGGTGCATCTTGGGTGTTTAACAAACACACATCTGTGTGCTCCTTTGAGTAAGCGCTACCTTCCTTAAGGTGTACATAAAATGAGGACTAAGATGAAGCATACCTCTTCTTATCTGCTTTTTATGCCTTCCGCTGTGGTGCTGGATGGGTACATCATTTATGGATTTTTTAAGGTACCCCAGGAAAGGCAGCGATCCTACAATGTGTCGCTTGACAGTCCACTGTCTGGAAATAAAAAATACACAACAGAACCTTCTAAAACCCTCTTAACTGGAGGTTTGCTTTTAAACACCACAATCCATTTGCTATCTCTTCATGAAGTCTTTCAGTTATTACCCAAACATTTTCAATTTACTTTGGTGAACTGGACAAAATAGCTTCCTAAAAGTAGCCAAATAGATTTTTATTATAGGGATTTTGCTTAAGAATATGCCTGTCGCTGTTTTGGAAAGAATATGTAAGAGGAGATGTTCTCTGTATAGCGATGCACTTGCTCCAAAGGCTACTAGCTGAACGTCTAAAAGCCTGGATTGATCTAATTTAGATTTGACTTTCCCTCAGATACAATTTTAAAAGCTTTAGCTTATGAATCTTAATTGCCCTGAGTCCAATTTCCTGGGAATCAACTAAATCATAAAGCAATAGAGCAAATAGGTTGTATTGGTTTTGGTTGAACATTAGTATTGTATTGCCTCTTGTCAGGTTTTTTTTTTTTTACTATGGAGAAGCTTGCTAACTTCTACATTCCTGTTACTTCTTTTTTACAAAAAAATGTTACATTATGTAAATAAAGGAAAACAAGGTGAATAAAGTTGAATAGGCTGGTTGTGTGTGATAGTACTACCGGTAGTAAAAGCTGTGTGGTTTGTTTATATTCTGTGTATAAACAGGGAAGAGAGTGGGATTTATTCCCTCTTTACACGTATTCAGCTTTTATGTTTAGTTTAACGGTAGTCTTCACTTGTTAATATGCATGGGTTTTGTTTGCTGTAGAATATGTTCTTATGTGTAAGAGTTGGGTCTGTTTGTAAATAAAAATATGCTTCCCTTCCATTCCTATAGGATAGATTTTATTGTGTGTTCAAATGCAGGGCTACTGTTTTTGGAGGCTGTGCAACATAACAAGCAGGTAGACCTTTTTCTATGCACATGAGGTATATATGGAGAGATTGAAGCCCAGTGGCGGACCACACTGTCTAACTCTCGTCTATACTGGAGCTGTGAAATGACTGTTATCAATATAATCAGCTGACATATATGGAAACGTTTATCTCTACATGCATACATCTGAAAGAGGGAGACAGAAATATTTTGTTCCTCTTCTCATTGGGTTGGGTTCTCCCTCTGGTATAATGGTCAGATTATATTCCTAATCTGTAGTTCATGCATGTGTGCCAATAATAGAATGTGAACATCTATAGCAAAGAACTGATGCTGCAGTGGGGTGGTGTCAGGGAGGTAATTTGAAAAGGAAGGAGGAAGAGATCAAGTTAATAACACTTGTGAAACCCTGGATTAAACTGTGATTGTTTTAGCAACATGCCCCAAATTTACTTTAAGTAAAAGTAAATGTTTTAACTAAGACTAAATGTTTTAACTAAACCAAATGAGTCTATTTGAGATGCTAATGTGCAGCCACTGGGACTATTTTAATTGCTGTTAAGTTTCTATCATGGCAATTAACTTCTTCTTGAACTCAGGCCTTGTTCTTTATGAAATCAGAAGTTAAGGGTGGTTGACTGCAATCATTTCAAGTATATAGACGTCTGTGTATGCAGAAAATATTTTGTTTCCTCGCTTTCCTTGGTAATGTTGCTATTGCAAATTTTTTAGCATAGACTATTATAGCAAAAAATATACTTTATACTATACTTTAACTGTTTACCATTATGCTTTTTAAAAAGCTATTGCGGCATATGCATATATGATAATAATCTTTGGGAAAGTATTGTTCAGGATTGCTTTTTGTGATCAAAGGAATCCTGAAGAAGATATCCTGTACCAGTTCCTATACATGGCAGAAAGAATTTGAATTGTTTCCTTGCACAGCATTTAAAGGCCTTTATATTTTGCTCTTTTGCTTTACATTCAAATGAGTGCATGTTTCAAGCAGTGATTGTAATTGCTTGTTTTAATGCTTATTTGTTAATTGTCAAAGTACATAACATTGATTTTATAAATTATTTTACATTTCCTAGCCAAGCACTGGGATTAATTAAAATGTTCTTCATTACATTTATAAAGTTGTAGCAATACACTTAATATTGTGTCTTTTCTGATATCCCTATTTAATCATTTGATTTGGATTCTTCTCTAGACTAAAAATTGCTTTTTGTTCTGTTACAAACTTTGGCAGTTTCTCTAACACAAAGATTACAGATTTCCCAAGAGCACTTATTGTATATGAATATTTTACTCCATAAGATATGAAGCACTGAAATTGGCTTTGACTTTAAAAGATGTTCATAAAAGATGAAAAGGCAAGGTTGTTCATTAATACTCAATGATAATTAAACATTTAGCTGCTTTAACAGTTTAGCAATATCCACATGGCAACTACATCTTAATTAAAATGCCATTGTATTGCTTTGGAAACTAAACAAAGTAAGCTAGCACTGTGGAATATTACTTCAGAGCTCAAAGTATCACAGGAATAGTAACTATATTTTTCTACTCAACTGTATTGTCACTTATAATAGTTACTCTATGGAATTTCTTACACCTTTCATATGAAAAATGTTTTTTGTTAAAGAGGTTTTCTCTAAACAATGTTTGGAATTAATGTGTTTTTGTCAGATTTCATGATAAAGACAAATTTAGGGTTCATGACAGTTTTTATAGGATTTAGGGGAATTCAAGGCCTTGTTATTAGAACCAGGGGGTGGTGGAATCATAGTGCTTTTGAAGCAGGTGCATTTCAGCTTTCTTTAACCCCAGAGCTGTTGAGATTTATTGAATTTGTAAAATACACAATGCATAGGCTTTATGAAAGCTTAACAAATATATGGATGCTTGATATGTTGTATCTGGAAAGACCATATTGAGAAAGGAAATGAAATTGAGCCATTTCTCATATTCATGGTTTTCATAGAGTGCTATTTATGGTATAATAAGAAAAGACAAAGGCAAATATGGGTGGAGTAGATATCTACAGATGAGTGAGAAAGGACGAACTTTTAAACCAACAGAATAATCTCTGAGAGATAAAATTGCAAAGGCCCAGATTTTATTTGGGTCAAAAATCTTTAACTGTCAACAGTTCAGATAAATTAACTCCCCCTACCCCCATCACATCCAGAACTTAGGGAGTATAAAAAGAAACTACTTGAGTTTTTGTTTGTTTTGTTTGGAAATTAGGTTGATAGAATCAGGAAGAAGATGGAATTTTTCTCACCAAGCTTCCTCTCTTTCTCTCTCTTAGTAGATTATTCACAGACTTGCTTGTCTGTTTTAATGAATAACATAGTCATGATCTTACAAACCTATGCTTATAATGAGATTGTGTTTGATCCTGTTCCTTAGGGTCTTGGCACAAGCTTGAAAAGCTTTGGTTACATATATACATTGGCAATGACTATTGTTCCATAATGGAGCATAATCTACTTCTGGAGCAATTGTTGCAGGTTATTGGTTACACAAATATTCCAGTCTTTGCAGAGAGGCGCTCTGCCATGAACATTAATGGAGAGCTCAACATGACTGTTCTTGATGCTAAAGAACATGTTTAAGATATTTCTGTTAGAAAAAAGATAAAGCAAAATCATTAGATCACACAATCATTTAGGCATTAGACTTATGAAATCACTTTAGGTCAGTTTTTAAGTCAGATTTTTTTCTTAGTAGAATTTTAAATGGAAATGGACATTTCAGTTCTAGTTCTTCTAACTCTTCCTTTTGTACTAAAATCAACGCAATTGCAAATAATGGCTTATTCTATTAAACCATTTTATAGAATAGTTTAGCAACATTTCATAGGGTTTGTAGGAAATATTATTACACTGACATGAATATTGCACTGACATTTTGGGAACACCAACAACTGAAGTTAATTGCTCTGTTCAAGTTGTCTCCCCCAAAACTTCTACACTCCAGGTTTTTTTAAAATCAGTTCTGTATGTGCTGATTACATACATTGAAAAACCACAAAAGAAATGTGTGCAGACGTTACATAAAGTAATTCAAATATTTTAATAAATAACAATTGCTTATATAATACAATTTTAAGAACAAAGTATAACTTGGTAAAGGTTTGGTGAAATTAGAGAGAAGAGAATATTTGATATCTTATTTTTTCTGTACTTTATTCCTTACATTTAAAAAAAAAATCAGGGAAAGTTCCTTTGAAAGAAGACCAGCTAATATCTCTGCTCTTTAAAACTGTATGGGTATTTTTGCCTCTACAGAAAGTTCTTTTGGATTGAAATTTTAGTTCTCTCTGAAAAGGGCAATTCAACATCAATCAGATGTTACATTCAATGTGTGATTACAAAGAAAACACATGCAGGAAATCTTGGCAGATTTCAGTTTGTCTCCAACAGGCCCAGACAAATTTTATGATGAAAATACAATAAGTATTGTGCCATTGCCTATATTGGCTCTTAAGAATGGAGACAAAAAGAATAATCATACATGCATTACCATCCCAGAACAATTGAGGTATCTGAGATACTATAGGAAAAAATGCTTCCATGCAATTTTAACGAAACATTTCATTCCTTGTTAGCTCTTCTGCTCTAGAACAGATAGGAAATGGTTAGAAAAGAAGGTAAGTCATCATTATCCAGATAGGATTTGGA